ATGGTGGGCGGAACAAAAGCCCTATTCCCTTACTATTTTTTTCTTTATCGCCGCCGAAACGGCCAGTCGAAATTTTAATTGGTTTGTCCAACTTACAGCACACAATTCAATTGAATCGCTCGTTGGAGCTCATTAAGCTCGAGGGTTGGAAATTATATCGAAAGGCAATAAACTCCTAATGATGACCTTAGTTCACTTCTGGGGTAGTTGACGTCAGATTGGATAGTAGTTCCTTTAATGGGATCATTTTTTATTAAGGTAAGGTAATTCCTTCTTTAATATCTAACTTGTAAACCATGATGTATAATACAAACGAAATATTGGCTTCAGTTCCCAAAATTAATATTTAAAATAATGTTGTTCGTTTTTAAAAATCGACGGACTCGGGAATATCATACTGAATATGATTACAACATTGTCATTAAGTCGGTGTTGTTTCCAAACTTCTTCTTAGTAAGATTTACTATGCTTTACTATCGTTTACTACGGTTTACTACGGTTTACTATGGTTTACTACGGTTTACTACGATTTACTACGATTTACTACGATTTACTACTATTTACTACGGTTTACTTCGATTTACTACGATTTACTACGGTTTACTTCGATTTACTACGGTTTACTACGGTTTACTACGGTTTACTACGGTTTACTACGATTTACTACGGTTTACTACGATTTACTACGATCTACTACGGTTTACTACGATTTACTACGGGTTACTACGGCTTACTTCGATTTACTACGATTTACTACGATTTACTACGGTTTACTTTGATTTACTACGATTTACTACGGTTTACTACGATTTACTACGATTTATTACGGTTTACTAAGATTTACTACGATTTACTACACTTTACTACGGTTTACTAGGTTGGTATTTATAACTTAAACTTGCTAAAATAGGTGAACACGAGCTAAGCCAGAGAAACCCAAATGGGATTTACCTAATTTCCATGAGTACTTTCCACTTTCATGTTGTACTGTGTAATGTTTATGAGTTAAATTTTTTTTTATTAGATGCTTTTTGCCTTTCCTAAAGGGATCATGTGGAAACTCCTATATTCATTTGAATACCTGAATACCCCACTGTTATCATTTGTATCCCCCATGGCAAGTTAATATTTGCAGGGCATCTGGGCACCATCAACAGCGGACACAGAAGCACTTTTACTCGTAGCACTTTGTGAAATGGAAATCTATCTCTCGGCAGCATTACCTGAAAACGCTCCCAAAAGATGTCATTCTCCGTCTGTCATCCGGCGAGGAGATAGTGAGGCAGCTTAAGGGCGACTCTAGCCAGGAATACCCCCGCAATCCCTACCAGATTCCCCTGACAATGTCTGGCACTCGTTCACGGACTCCGGCGCTGACTTCTCCGCCGCGAGCAGGTGTTTCCATTAACATCGGGACAATAAAGGCAGCGCACGCACTGCAATATGCAATATGCAACAGTTGCAGACACGCAGGAAAAGCGATGAAAATGGGAAATGGTAAATGGCAGCGGGCGATGCCACGCACATTTGTAAGCAGTTGTGTAATCTATCTATGAACGTTGCTTCCGCTTTGCATTTTATATGCTTAACGCATCGTTTGGCCGTCGCAAATTGAGTTTCGTTGTCGTTGCTGCTGAAATATCTGCCCTCGGTTATCGAGATGGATGGATGGAAGGATAAACGGATAGATGGATGCGTGGATGAATGGCCGGGATATATCCCTTTACCAGCGTGATATTGACGCTGCCATCGATTGGGAATGCCGTTTGACAGCCAACCGCCTCCATCCTTTATCGCTCATCCACTTTGCGGCTCTGAGCGAGCACGAGCAACGAGCCAATTTAAACTTTTGGCCAATCAACTTAATTAACAAAATGCTCAAATTATGCGATTGTCATAAGACCGCAGGAAGTGTTAAGTATGCAGAGACCAAAAATCTTTCTGAATATATTCTTGATAATAAAGAAAACGGTGTATTTCCTTGATTTATGCTAAGTAAGTAAATCTAAGTAAATTTAAATGAAACTTTGTTTAGATCCTGATCCTAATTATTTAAACCCTAACATTTTTAAACTCATTTATTTTAAAAAGTAAGTGTCCAATCCATTAAAGAAAAAACTATATATGTATAAAACGATGATCGATTTGATGTTAGGTGGTATCGTTTTTGACTGTATATAAGGGTACCCCAATTGTAAAAGCACAAAATGTAAACAATTAAATCTCCGAGAGAGAGATAGAGGTAAAAACGATATGCGTATGCAATACCAGAAATTTACCATGCGAATATCGATTTGACCGCGACTTATTTTTTTTTTGTGTGTTAATAGTTTTTCTGATTTTCAGTCGGAAGAATCCGAACTAAGCCAATATATAATCTATTCAACCAATTCGTTACAATACTCTTTTTGCTATAAGAACCTTTCGTTGCGGTGTATTACCTTGTTAGGAAGTGTAACAAAAAATAACAGTTCAGAAGAAAGACTGGAACCGTCAAGTTATGTTCAATTATTTTGTATACGCCCTATTTGCTTGGAATCTTTTGGAATCCATCCATGCTCAAGATAAACCAAAAAGCCGAAGTTATGTGGCCAATCCGCAAATGCCGCTGCTTGATCGGATTGCTCAGCATCAGCAACAATGGTTCACATACAATTCCCTTAAAGAAACCGAGAACCAGCAGAAACTCGAAGGGTTGGAAAGAGGAATAGAAGGTCAATTGCAGGCGGTGCAAATCAAAATGGAAATCGAACTGCAGGCGCTAAGGAACCTTATGGAAGATCATTCGCACAAATCGACGGACAGAATGAAAGCAAGACATATTATGGAACAGGGTAACTGGGAAAGGATCGGATCGCGGGACTTTTACATTGAGAAGCACTACGCACAGAATTACCATGGTGCAATAAATAGATGTCGTCAACTGGGCGGATACTTGGCGACGATCCAAAACGAACACGAATATAATGAGCTCTTTTCCAGACTAAATTCGGGGAATTATTGGATCGATATTAACAGACTAGGAGTTTTTGAACACTATATTTCCTCATTCACCGGCAATGCACCGCTATACACCAGATGGGCAAATGACGGACAAAAGGGTAAATGCGTTTCTGTTAATGTATCACGCGATAAACTCATGTACAACCAGGATTGCTTTAATATGTTATATTTCGTATGCCAATCTGAGCAATGGTAAATATAAATATAAAAAAAATGTTTTTAAATCGACCTAAATTAAACTAAAATAACTATGTGCATTTTTCTATTATAAATACGGTAAAATACGGTAATCGTAATTTCTTAATAATTATAGCCGTTACCCGTAGAATAAAAGGCTACAATGTATTTCGTGCAAAATTATGTAACAGTATATATATTCTTGAACGCTGAGATCTCGGAAACTACAATGCTATCAAAATGTAAAAGAAATTTTTCAAATCGGACCGTTCATTAAAAAGATATGCGCGATCGAAGTGTAATATCTCTATCTCCCATCCCGACTATAGTGTTCTCTCTTGTTTCAACTTTATATTGGCCCATTTCGCAAAAATCGATATTTATAAAAATCCAATATTGTTCTTGGTTTTTGAAATTTGATCGATGCGATACAAAAGCCTTTCGTTGCGGTGGAAGTTTGTTAGGAAGTGTGACAAAAAGTATTTGTGGTAAGAGTTCGCAAGAAAGACTGGGACCGTCAAGTTAAACACTCGCACTATGTTGAAGTATTTTGTATTCGTCCTAGTTGCTTGGAATCTGCTGGAATCCCATGCTCAAAAAGAGGACAAGCCGAAAAGCCGAAGTCATGTGGTTAATCCACAAATGCCGCTGCTTGATCGGATTGGCGCACATCAGCAACAATGGTTCAGATACAATTTCCTAAAGGAAACCGAAACTCAGGAGAAAATCAAAAGATTGGAGAGAGCAATTGAAGGACAATTGCAGGCGGTACAAATCAAAATGGGCATCGAACTGCAATCGCTACGGAACCTTATTGAACACCATTAATAACCATCTACATTGTAAATACACAAATAAAAACCAAAAAAATTATAGGTTTTTCAATATCTATCACTTTGATCATATTATTTAAGAGTAAGGAATCGTAATTACTGTCGATCTTCCATAACTTTAATTTTTTTGTAATTAAAACTAAATATTGGCAAATTTTCCAAAGGTCGGTATTTATAACTATCCAATATGTTCTTTGCTTTTAAAAACCAGGGAACGTAACTGTTATAAGTTTTATTTTAAAAATCACACTTTAACAGTTATTTTCTGATTTGTAAAGTAAAACTCAAAGAATAACTGTTATTTTTTGAGTTTTATAATAAAAGTTGACAAATAACAGTTATTCGTCGTGATCAAAAATAAAACTCAAACTTGATTTATGGCGATTTTGTGGGTAAACAAAATTTAAAAAAAATATAGGTATAAAATATGCGCGGTTGCCTTTTTTAACAAATTTTTAGTAAGTTATAAAAAGCACGGGTATCATGTTTTTTTAATTATTTCATTTTTTCAGAAATGTCAAGGGAATAACTGTTATTCATTAAAATCAAAAAATAACAGTTATTTTTTTAGTTTTATTATAAAAATCAAAAAATAAAAATCATTACGGATTTGTAAACTACAATGGCTAATAAAAATTGTGGTGTATTTAAAAAATTTTTAGGACCCTTCTAAGTGCGTGATTTTTTTGTATGAAAAATTTACAATAACAGTTATTTTCGTTCCCTGTTAAAAACTGATCTATCCGAGAAGTAACAGAGGAAGTTCAAATCATTCAAGTTCGACTATACGTTTTATCATTACTAAGTTATGATAAAAAGAACAATTATTTCAATAAAGTCGTAACGATAGTGTTGGCTTTCAGATTATAATATGCGATAAAAAATCCTTTCGTTGCGGTGTAATACCTTGTTAAAAAGTGTGACAATAAGGTTTTGTAGTAACAGTTCGCAAGAAAGACTGGCACCGCGAAGGTTTACACTCGCAATATGTTCAAGTATTTTTTATACACCTTTTTTGCTTGGAATCTGTGGGAATCGCATGCTCAAGAAGAGGACAAACCGAAAAGCCGAAGTCATGTGGCCGTTCCACAAATGCCGCTGCTTGATCAGATTGGCGCACATCAGCAACAATGGTTTAGATACAATTCCCTAAAGGAAACCGAAGCTCAGGAGAAACTCGAAAGGTTGGAGAGAGGAATTGAAGGCCAATTGCAGGCGGTACAAATCAAAATGGGCATCGAACTGAAGGCACTACGGAACGTTATGGAACAGCAATCGCAGGATTCTCCGGACAAAAGGGAAGCTCTCCGCTTAATGAACCAGGGGATATGGACGAGGATCGGATCGCGGTTCTTTTACATTGAGAGGCACGAGACACTGAACTACCATGGTGCATCAGATAGATGTCGTCAACTAGGAGGATTCCTGGCGACAATCCAGGACGAACACGAATATAATGAGCTCTTTTCCAAAGTAAATAATTGGAATTACTGGATCGATATCAACAACCTGGGAATGGTTAACCAGTTTACTTCATCATTTACCGGCAGTGCCCCGCCATACACCAGATTTGCAAGTGGTACAACAAATAATCGATGCGTTGCCGTAAGTGGACGCAATAAGTACATGTACCGCCAGGATTGTTTTAGTCGGCTCCGTTTCGTATGCCAATCTGAGCGATGGTAATTATAAATATATAAAAAATGTTTTAAATGTTCTAAAGCAAAAGACTAAAACAGCCGTGTACATTTTACTTGTATAAATTCGGAAATAAAACTTAAAAACCACACTTTTGGATAAAACAACTTTTTAAAGGGCCAAGCTTTGTACAATGCTTACTGCTTAAATACCATTACGTGGGTATATCGTAATAACTCGAGATACTTTAAGTAAAAGTACCATAGAAACGATTTGACATTTTTAAAGTCTTACGAATACATTAAATTAAAAAAAAAAGAAACCTTAAAGGAAATAACACTCGAAAGAATTTATGGAAATCTAAAATCAACTAGCCAAACAACAACAAAAAAGCATTACTACTGCTTTAAAACTGAGAGACTAGTTCGCAAAGATACGGACAGACTGACGGACAGACAGACATGGCTATATCGACTCGTCTAGTGATCAAGAACATGTATATACTTTTTAGGGTCGAAAATCTCTCCTTCACTGCGTTGCAAAGGTATACAAATATATTTACTTAATTTATGCCATGGAAATTATGATTAAGAAAAAGTAAAAAACAATTCCTTGGGAACTTTTAGCTTGTTAAGGTTTCTGCGTTTCGTTTTTCAGGGTGTGTGGGGTGAAGAGTAGGCAAACCATCAAGTGCAGAGCCAACGGTGCGTATTATTTTCAAACGCCTCACACAGGATGTGTCCACGTTCCGTGCAGAAGTGAAGGCGGCAAAAGCCACGCCCCCTCAATCACTCCCGCCCCCAAGGAAGCCGCCCAATGCTGACAAAAATGCTTTTGATTTGTGGGCCATTCGCACACATACACACGCGCTTATTAGAATCTTGCCATTGTGTGTGTGTGAGGCAAAGTGCAACTAGCAGGGACAGATAGCAAACAGCAAACAATGCGGAGTGGAACGCAATTTATGGCGGGGGAACGGGATTTTCGGAACAAGCTAATAGGATTGCGGCTGTAATTTTTGGGGCTCCTCATTTCGCCTATCTCCACTTTTACCAGAAGAGAACTCCATTCATGACAATTCTAATCGAAATCAGAGTAATTAGAATTTTATAAAATTGTCTTAATTTTAAAATTGGGTCACGAATGCATTACACGCTCTTAAGCCAAAAAATAACAAATACTTTCAAATGAATAAAATTGTAAAAAACTTTAAACTTTTTTCACTTTTTATACCCTTGTAGAGGGGTATTTTAATTTCAGTCAGATGTTTGCAACGCAGTGAAGGAGACGTTTCCGACCACATAAAGTATATATATTCTTGATCAGCACCAATAGCCGAGTCTATCTAGCCATGTCCGTCTGTCCGTCTGTCCGTCCGTCTGTCTGTCCGTTTCTATGCGAACTAGTCTCTCAGTTCTAAAGCTATCGCGATGAAACTTTCCCAAAAGTCTTCTTTCTATTGCAGGTAGTACATATGTCGGAGCGACATACATAGTCGGACAACTATATCTTAAGGCTCCCATAGAAATATTCATAGAAATATAAGAAAATTCATTGTAACTTTGTAGGAAGTAGGCGTTTTGATTCTTGACTACTTAAAAACAAAATTTAAATAAATAGAAACGCTGAATCTGGAATCCCTGGAACTGCACCGAGTGAGCATTCTTTTATCTGCAAGGGTATATAAGCTTCGGCTGGCCGAAGGTAGCTTCCTTTCTTGTTTTTTACTTATATTAAAGCACATAAGAAACCTAGTACCATTCTCGATATCTGTGGCATCCTTGAAAATGCAACTTTGCCATCATTTTTGCATTGTTATTAACTTGAAAAGCAAATTCATTACAAAACGTTTTTAGTCCTTAACACTGTAATTTTGCACAGTTACAATAAAAACTATAATCTTTATAAAATAAAACTAAAACTTGTAGACTAAAAGTTAATATTTCACGAGAAAGACGGGACGATAAAATTGTAACGGTAGTTTTTAAAAGGTGATTTCAATAATTGAACCGAGTTGGCAGCTCAAAATAATATGAGGAGGGTGCACTCGCTAAAGAAGGGTGGTGTCCCCACTAACTTTGACCGCTAATACAGTTATACAATTTTTATCATTTGTATGGTTATTTTATTTTCATTTTACTTTTATATCCATATAAGCATCCAAAAGAAAAAAGAGAAAGAAATGGAACAGTAAAGGTTTTTCATTAAGCATCCCGATAGTAACGTGATAGTTTAAAAACCATCGATGGTGCCGCCGAAAGGGCGCTCACTCGATAGTATCGATAGAACCATCGATGTTCTCTCAGCTCTAGTTCCATGACGCTTGAATTTTAGCGGACAAACTCAAAAAAGAAACAGCAAAATCGGGCGACGCTTGCCGGAAAATTAGTAAATCCTTCGAAGATCAGGCAGTTTTAACCTTTAAACCGGGAACCAGGAAGAAGCCGAGTCCGCCGCCAAGATGCCGCGCACCAAGATACCAAAGAACTCGAAGCGCAACCGCGAGGTGGCCAATCGCGAGGAGAAGCTGCGCTTGTACGAGCTGAAAATGGACTCTCGCCTGATCAGCATCGATACGCTGGAGACCAAGTTCCTGTCCGCCGTCGACCACCAGGTGAAGACGCTGCTCAGCCAGGTGCAGCGGGAGCTGGCCGACCTCAAGATGCCCGAGGTGCTGCGACTGTTCGGGGAGCTGGACCGCTTCAGCGACTTCAAGGCCAGCGATCAGACGCAGCTGCTCGCCTCGATGTCCATGAGCGGCAGCGCCACCGACGGCCGCGCCCCCTCCGCTACAGGGAGTCGCAATGACGAAGGTTTGTCCGCCCTTCGCGGTGTATGTATGTATATATGTAGTTGTAGCAGTGCTAAATTTGACAGGGGAAGAGGAAGAGATTCTCTTTGAGGATCTTTTCCATTATGATCCTTATTTTGATGAGAAAAGTAACATTTTCCATTTAATTTTAAGTCCTCTGAGTAGTAGTAATACTTTGCAGAGGCAAAAATAGGAAGAAATTAAAGGAATTCCGGTTACTTACCCAAGAAATACAATTTATCCAATGCTAAATTTATCGAAGGAAGAGGAAGAGAGCCTCTTTATGAGGATATTTCCCATTATGATCCTTATTTTGATGGAAAAATTCAAAATTTTCAATATATTTTGAGTTCTCTGAGTAGTACTAATACTTTGCATAGGCAAAAATAGGAAGGAATCGAAGAATTCCAGTTACTTACCCAAGAAATCCCATTTATACAATTTTATATCTTTAAAGGATCTTCAATTTCAACAGAAAAATTATCCGTTTTCACTTTATAAGTGTGTACACTCTTTTCCAACTGAAAATTCTGAAAGATTTTTAATTTATGTGAAATATGCCTATAACTGCCAAAAGAAACATCCAGAATATATAGTATTTTAATTTTAAATTATTGTTTTAAGTGTCTGACAAATCTATTTTTTTTTAACAATGTTTATTTTTGCTTAAATTGTCATCAGCCTTTGAATATTATGCAATTAGTGTTACACCCTTCGGTCTCCGAAGGCGGTCGCCCCTTTTTGTTCTCATTTTGCTCCTCTTATTATTACTCTAACTGGTGTCCGGCTTTGTGACTAACTCAACTTTGCTTTCTAACTCCGCACCGCACATTTTAAACCACTCAAAAAACCAAATGCCACCCACCATCCATCCACATCCTGTGCCGGTCACTGTATCTAGGCTACCTTACAGAGGACAGCAGCATCGGGGCCAGCGGCGGCAGCATCCTGGCCGCCCACACTGGCTCCCTGTTGCGGTCCACGAAGGCCATGCGGACCCCGGGACCGCTGCACTCGGCCAGGGCCCGTCGAGCCCGCCGCAGTCGATCCGCCTGCGGTGAGCTGAATGTCCTGCACTCGGCCAAACCGCCGTCCATCTCGAGCGGAGCAAATAGCAGTCGAAACTCGCGCAGCAAGTTGCGCACACCGATGGCCTCGCGCACAAAGGCCTTCAGTGCCGATCGCACGCCACTGGCACAGAAGCAGATTCGCTCCGGATCGCCAACCACTCCGCCGATGGCCTTCCTGCGCTATCCCAAGCCCGGCGAGGTGGCCCTCTCCAAGTTCGGCAGCCCCATGGTGGCCCAAGTGTAAGTTCTCACTATAAACCCATTGAAAACCATTCATTGACTTACCTTTTCTGCTCCACAGAATGCCAGACAAGTTCGCCAATGTGAACATACCCATTCGGAACGGAGTACTCAGCTTGCGGCCCAAGAAACTGGATGCCGGCGAGGTCGAGTCAAATCTTCTGGAGAACCTGGACGAGGACACCCTCAACCAGATCAAAACGCTGCACGAGAACTTGCAGATGATCGTGAATAAGGCCAGCCAGGCGGGATTCAAGTAGTTGCCAATTCAAATTCTTATCTAGATATAATTCTATATCATATATTTTAGTACGTTTCGTTTAAGTTCAGTTTTCACCATACTTTCAAGTAGTTCAAGTACTTTGTCTTCATTTATAAAAATCTGTATCGTATTAGCATAAGTTTCAATACACGTATATATTCATTGTTCATCCAAGTTTACGGGGATTTATATGTCATTATAATTCTACAAAATATACGGTTAAACATGGTTTTTACCCGTCTCCAAGCCAAACGGCAAAAGGCGAAAAGAGATGAGAAGTTGCGCATTCTATTTGATTCCGTGCTGGAGAATGTCGATGAGATAACCAAAACATTTAAGCAAGATGTGGACCACCAATTAAATTTGATTCGAGCCAAGACTGATGGACAGCTGCTGGAGATGAAATGGTCGGATTTTATGTATTTGAAGGAAAAACCACCCAAAAGCTAATAGCGCTCTATAATGTGAGTATTATTTTATAAGCAATCAGCAAAGTCCATAACCATAAGAAACGCTTTTTAAATTATGACTTTAAATTTTAATTATTCTTCTGTTATATATTTTAGTTAATTCAATATATTACGCGATTTTTAATACAAGTTTGAACTCAGTTTTCATCAAAGAGCCCTGTGTGCGCCTTGTTTATAATTGTTTCAATAGCTGACAGATATAGGAATATACATATAAGAACGTTAACGATCAGATAGCAAAATGCCTCGCACCAAGATATCAGCACGTCGGCAGGCACAGCGTCAGAAGGCTGATCGTGAGGAAAAAGTGCGCCTGGCCCAAATTAGGATGGATTGCGCTCTGGAGCAGATCGATGAGATAGGCAAGCGCTACAAGCAAGAGGTGGACAACCAAATTAAGCTGATCCGCGGAGGGACTGACAAACAGCTGCTACAGATGAAATTGTCGGATTTCGCAGCTCTAAAGATTAAAACTTTTGCTGAACATCAGTGGGCAGGTGAGATTATCTGAAAAATGTAATGTTGTTTTTAAAAAAAAAAATATAAATATAATATCAGAATGGTCGTCTCAAAAATACAAGCTAAGCCTAACCACACACCTCATTACAAAATCAACCTAATTATAATACACACTTTTAATTCAAGTAAAATTAGTTTTAGCTCAAAACAATTTGAAATTTAGAATAAGAATATTGACTAGTGACTGGCACATTAAATTTATAGTGTTATTACTTGTAGTGCTAGGATGCAAAATAAAGAAATAATTATGACATAATAATGAAATTTTCTTTTTCAGTTCCCAAGCCGCCCACAATGCGCAGCCTTTCCATCAGTCACCATCGCAGTCGAACTCGCACCCCACAGAACTCCCAGTTGCCGCGGCCCCAGGCACAATCTGCGGACAGAGCGCTTTGTGCGGATACCATGAGCTTTGTGCGATATCCCCGGATCGGGGAGCAGGTACTCTCCAAGGCGGGAAGTCCCTTGGCCGTTCAGGTGCAGCCGGATCGCTGTGCCGACGTGCACATTCCCACCAAAAAGGGCGTGATCACCGTAAAGCCGCACAAGATCAATACCGTGAAGCGGGAAGTCCTAATGCAGCTGGATGAGAATACCCTCAACCAGGTGAAGGCGCTGAATGCCAATCTCGGATTGATCGTGGATATGGCCACAAAGATGGCAAACCCAAAACCCTAAACACTTGCCATGGAATATTACTCTTATTTCGTTAATATTTTATTTAGTCTTTTTCATTTTCTCATTTTCAATGTTTTTGTTCAGTTGTTAAACATTAAGTGAACGTGTCTGTTGTTCTTGTTGCTGTTTGCTGCAGTTTGCTTGCTTCTTGTTGTATAATTAATTAATAAATTTAATTACCTTTATGTATATATATATATAGATTTGTAAGTACAAACATAGCGTACAGAATTTCGCCTCCTCTAACTTCAAATTTAATTGTTTAAACATTTTTCTATTGTGTTGCATGTATGTGTTTTTGTGTGTCTCTTGGTGAACATTCTCAATTATGCTTTTAAGTACTTAGTTAAATTAAAGTATATTGTGTTTCCCTTCAAATGTTATATCCTTTTCACTTTCCATTACGCGGACCCTTAGACAAAAGTTACATTTACACATATACAGATTTAATTTTAAAAATTATCATTAATTTTTAGTGTATATAGTGTTAAATTTAGCATTTGTTTTTTGGTTTCCCATGTATGTTAGTGTGAAATATCAAGTGTGGATGGGAGTGTCATATGCGTATATATAGTGACAATTACATAAAAATACAGTACATAGCAAAAGGTACATATATAGAGACTTAAAACACGCTTGTTTTTACGGAATTATTTAATAAGATTATTAGAGACAAAGACAACATATGAGGACAATCAATCGATACATGTAAACAGTGACAGTGAACGAACAGTGACAGATGACAACAACTTAACACTCAGATTTGTAACATTCATTATGTTTGTGTGTGGATAGGTATTGATAGTTTTTGTAAAACGATTTTAAAGAATCAATCAGTTGGTTAGTGCGATGAACAGTCGCCTTAGCCCAAAACCAGCAATAAACGAGTATAATCTAATCCAAATGCTCATGATAATTTCAAAACAATCTGCCGTTTACTTCAGTACAGTCTTCCCTTCCAAATCACGATATTATAGCTTAGGCGAAGTATGGATACTATGTTCATCAAAGCCTAAAATAATTGTGATCACTAAAAACGTAAAATTTATAAATATGTGACAATTTGAACTGAAGTTGCCTGCTCTTAAAGATCTGATCCCCTTCTTAAATTCAGCATAAATATAAATCCAAACTCCTATGTGGCAAAACCAACCTAATTAAATATCGGTTACGGTTCCTACAAGCGTTCCCTGAACGCATCTAACTACGCTATCCTCGACCAACTACTTTAAACTCGACTGCTACTTTTGAAAATGTTTTCACTTCCCAATGTCTCACACTTTGTAGGTCTATTTCGTCGTATGTTTTTCGGTCTTTAAACTTTTATTTTCATTTTTTTTTAACACAGCCAATCAACGATGCCTCCTTCCATCAAACCGACCTTTTCACTCCACTATATTCTGCACGTACTGAAGAGGAAATAATTTAAATATTGAGTAGTAGTGTTTCGTATTCTGGGTGAGATTTGTATTTTATATTGCTCTCGGTTCTGTTACATTTGTTGTGGATCTATTTTGCGTTCGTACAAATTTCTACTTGCTTTTATACAAAATTGTGCTATTTTTGCTATTTTGTTTAAAACTATTTGTTGAGGCTGTTGTTTTAGAATTCGTTATAACTTTAAATGCTAATTTATATATTACTTTTGTATTCCGTTATTCTTATTTTTGGGCACTACTCATTGCGGTTCAGGGCATCTTTTTGTATGTCGTAAATAGTATTTTATTTGTAATATCAAGTTTAACAAATCTTTGTAGGCTTTATGCACGGGTACAGGGCGTTGCATTATTTGTGTTGTTTATCGTTTTCCTCCCTCGGCTAATATCTTAAATCGTCAGTGTGTGATTTGGTACAAATTTTATGGTACTAGGTTGCATAGAAATTAAATAAATTCATCTGTACAGTATAATGAAATAAGTATGGTATAGTAAAGGACGCCCGCTAGTCAGATCCGGAATAAAAAATAATTTTTTAGATTGGGTGTGTCCAACGAAACCAATTTGTCCTCCGATGATCGAAATGTATTTCTTTAAAAAGCTTACATCTGTAGAGATCTGGTGTGAAACTGGTTTGAATTCAATGATAAATTCTAAGACGCCTTGTACGAGTATATACAAAATTGTATTCGCCAACTGGATCGTAAACGTGCGTGATAACAGAATAACTTACCAAATCAAATATGCACTTTAGTAGGTATTATTAAAATTAAGTTCGCTTTGCTTTCACGCAAATATTATTTGCATAGGGTTAGTTAGATTTAAGGGTATTACGATATTTCCTTATATACTCGATGAAGTTTATACCGTTTGTAAATATTTGTTTATTTTAAATATATTCGAAATAATCCCCTATATTTCGTTATGCTTATAAATTAATTAATTTCATTAAATGCTTAAATTCATTAATGCACTTTATATGTACTTTTTGTGTTGCTGTGTGTGAAATTTGCTATATCCTTACCCCGTTATAAATATATATTTATGAATTGGTATATATGAATAACTGGCATTAAAACTATTCATATAGGTGTATATATAATGCTAAATGCAGTATACTTGTGTATATTCATTTGTTATACTTATACTTTCCTGGTTTGAGGTTTTGTCAGTATAAAAAACTAGGGGGAGAGCTGGAGGCCGAAAACTGGCCGACATCTTTTCCGTTTTATGCTTGTTAATTTTTAATTTAATTGCATTAAATTTAGCCTCTTAAAGAAAAACTCATCTTAAGCTATTTATTTGAGTGTGACAATTGTAATTTAGCTAGTAGCGTCTAAAAATTATTTCCTTTAATAGATTTTGAAGTAATTTAATCTGAACCATTTGCAATCTATTTACAATTATTTTTAGTCGACTTAATATATTTCCATGATTATTAGGTTATGCTCAATATTTTTATAAATTTGTATTTCATCATACGTTTTTGAACTTAACGAGAGGTATTTCTATTTTCCCAAGTGTTAATATCGCCGCTTTCATCAATTATGTGTTCCTTTTAATCGTGTTGTCGTTGTTTTCGGGGCCTTGTTTCAGTATCATAATTTGTTAAAGAAATCAGATAAATAAATAAATAAAGAAAACATTAATGTTTAATATATTGTATATAAATTTTTATTTAGGGCTTTGCAGTTTAAACAGTATTTTAATAAAATTATAAACTAACTTTATATCAATAATATTTGTATAGCATTTGTATCGTTTCTTCTTTAAAATAATATTTATAACGATTGAACCCAACTTAATAGACTTAAAGATTTAAACAAATCAAAAATCAATAAAAAAATTACAAATTAGAAAACGTGAAACGTTTTTGCTCAGCTACAGCTTGCAAAATGTTCATTGAAAGTGGTTTGAATCATACATGCCAATGTTTTAAATTTAAAATGTAATAGTTAATATAAAAATGGTCAAAATTACATATTAGTTTAAACAAAACCTGTAAAATAGCCTTCACATGAAATTGCAACGCCAACTTTGCTTTGCGCGCTTTGCTTTCTCGCTTTGATATAAAAGTATTTAAAAATAGTTACAATAAATTTAAACGAGCATTAACTAAGTTACAAATTAAAATTTAAGGCGGCTCAACTTAGAGAAATTATTTAGTGAAAATATGTACAGTTATAGGGATAGTTTTGCTAATCGTAGTCGAAGAGAAATATTTTGGGTCCGATTGGTAAATTGGTAATTCAAAAAGAAGTAATGTTCGAAGATGCTTGAAAATGTTTAAAGGGTAAACAAAGCAAAGCCTTTGGAGGTCGAGGTCCTCGTCGTGCTTGTGCAGCAACAAATTAGCAACATTTAGTATATAAAATTTAACAAATTATCACACTGAAAAAATTCAACACTACTTTTAAATGTACAGCAAGTTTGTGTTTTTGTGTGTTACATGTTACATGTTTTCCCTTCCAATTGTATACATAATATATTATCGCTTGTCGTTATATTTAGAGCTTAGCCAACTGCTGCGGCTGCCAACGCCTCTCCAAATGTTATACAATATTAATGTTATTTGTTTTTAAATATACATATATCAATTTAACAACACCTAGAAACGGCCAGCACTTAAAGCATAATTTTATTTATGCTTTTCGCTTTGTTTCTGTTTTCTTTCTTTTGTATATATAGCTCTTAGAACTAGGCTTTATCTTTAAACGTAATAAATATGCATTTCTTTTATCGATTTTCCATCTTTTCTTGAAGTTTTTTTTTGCGGTTTTGAAAATATTTAACTATAGCTTGTGTCTGGTAATTATGTTTTCGCGACTTCCTTTAGACGAGGTTCCCATTTTGCTTTACAATTAATATTTGCTAGTATTATAAAATAAATATATTTAGGTATATATATTCTTTAAATAGTGCTGCTAATATTTTTAATTAGATTTACATGCTTCGCCGTTCATCCTTTGATTTCCTATTGGTTTTTTGTTTTCTTATTTCTTGTTATTTAGAGCCATAAATGCGTGCGCAAGAGAAGTTTTGGTTGTGTGTGATCATCCTGGGGTCTGAATTAGTCACCTTAGGGTCACCTCGTAGCGCTGCTGGTGAAGAAGTCCGCTGTTGGAAAGAAAGGAGCATGAGTTATGATTAAAATATAATGTATGTGATATGATATACTTACGCGTCTCAAAGCTAAAGCCAAGCGTTGGATCTGGCGGCGTGTTGAGCATGGAGTTGACATTGCCGCTGCCCGTGGGCGTGACGTTGCCCATGGTGTTTGTACTATTGGCTCCGCCCACGATGCCTCCGCCTCCGCCGATCACTGCTCCCTGCTGCAGCGGACTCTGCGGCGTCTGTCCGCGCTGGGCCACGCCTCCTCCCGTGACCGCCGCCGCCGCCTGCTGGGCTCGCACACTGACCACCGCTCGCAGCTCCTGCTTAACAAACTCGGAATTTGCATTGCCACCATTGCCACCACCGCCAGCTGAAAGATTCAAGGGTATCAAATGAGTGAACATGGTTTTATCCAGGCCACAATAATATATATATATGGTTTAGTCACAGTTGGTTTGGCTCAATTCTAGACATAAAACATAAAATAAATACAAAACATACACAACGGAATACAACATGGAACACAAAGGTTGAGGCACACTGAAAATTGGGATCGGGAAATAATTTGGCTAGGTGGGTATCAATTAAAAAAAAAAATTGAAATCCTATAGCAGTAACCAATTTTCATTTTGCAGATCCAAATAATCTAGCTCTTGATTTTCTAGTTTTTAGTTATTAATTCGGGAGATATTTTGGATTTTTCTTATTTCTAAACATTGTACAGGGTTATTAAATACACCGGATGTTCTTTGTGGGGGTGCAGCGCCTATATGCCATATAAGAATATTATGTACAGCTCAACCAAGTTGTCTTTTTAGGAATAGGTTAATTACTATGATCGTACAGTTATAAGGGATTTATGTATACGCATATGTGTGGGTTAGGGGTGTTGATACGTGTGGTTTCCAGCTTAAATGTAGTTTTGTTTTTCTTTTTTTCAATGTATATACAGAATGCGCCCAAATTTTGATTTGCTTTACGATGCGTGGCAATGGATTATACAGCCATATATAATATATAATATATACTTTTATACACAAAAGGCGGGGTGATTTATACAGCGATCGCGTGAGATATTCAAATGATGGTTTAAGTTTGAGAGAGGGAAGAGCACACAGGCTTACCGGTCTGCGCGCGACCATAGAAATCATTCGCCTGCTGCGGCTGCCCGTAGGCGCCGAGGGTGGCACCGTAATTACCGCCGCCGCCCCCGCCAAGGCCAATGATGCCGTTGCCACCGCCACTGCCCATCCCGCCCACGCCCATCATCGCCGGATGCGGATGCGGCGACATGCTCAGCCCGTTCATCAGCTGTTGCTGTTGCTGGTGCTGCTGATGTTGCTGCTGCTGCTGATGTTGCTGCTGTCTGCTGGTTGCCGGCGGCAGCTGAGCTATCAGTGGTGTTGTTGTTGCTGCTGTTGTTGCTGCCCGGTGAGGAGCCAAAGCGTGGCGAGCCTGTTTTGGTTAAGCGGTTTTGGTTGGTTTCGTTTGGCTTTTTGATTAAAACTAGTTCAGATTATCAAGTGTGTTATGTGTGTGTGTGTAAAGCTGTCTAAGTATGTAGTTTAATGTTTAGTATGTGGATTAAGAGGGGTGCTTAAATCACAAGAGATATGTCAACTACACTTGAATTTCCTAGGCTAATTATACTCCCCCTTATTTGCTCCTAAAAAATTTTCTTTATTTTGTAATAAAATAAACTAAACGCCTAGTTATCAGCTCAAGTTTTCAGCGGGATCATTCCTTACCTGGCAGATGTTGCGTGGCCTGGGGAACGCTGGCCTGTCGCTGCAGTCGCTGCAACTGTTGCTGCTGGAAAACGTTGACATTGCTGCCGTACGGCGACTGTGGACCACCGAAACCGTCGGGCGTCGTAGCCCCTCCTCCTCCACCGCCCTGTCCCTGGAACGAATTCTGTCGCTGGAGAGCCGCCTGCGCTGCCGGATTGCCGCCGGGTCCAACCGCTCCCGGGGAATTCAAGCCGCGTCTCTGGTTCTGTTGGTATTGACGCGCATTGTACGGACTCACGCCCTGCAGCGCGGCCATGGAAAGGTGTTAATGCTTGCTTGTTTTAGCTATCTTAATTCTCAGACACTCACCTGCAGCTGAGCGATGAGCATCGGGTTGTGTTGCTGCAGTGTTCGCCCGGCATTGCCAGCTGGCAGCGGACCGCCGGGTCCTCCGCCGCCTCCACCTCCGCCCGGTCCCCACTGCTGCGGGCTGTTCTGCATCACCGGCGACTGCATTCCCGAGTTGGAGCCAAACGGAGTGTTGGAACGTCCGCCATCGCCAACCTGTTGCTGCTGCTGGTAGGCCAACTGTTGCTGCTGGGCATTGTTCTGCTGCTGCTGGTTGAGCTGCTGCTGCTGCTGCGGGGAGAGACGCTGACCGGGTTGCGGGAACTGAGGAGCATAGCCTGGAAAAATATAAAATATATACTTTATATAATTTATTTCTTTAAATTTTTTTTAGTTTTTCCCACCTTGATTGGGCTGCGGACTGTAGGGCGTGCTCCGACCGGGACTGAGCTGCTGCTGCATCAACGTCTGAGCAAAGTTTGGACTCAGCTGGGCATCTGAGGGCAGGTTCGTGCGGGATAGGGACACATTGGGAGCCACTGTCGTGTTTAGCAGCGAGCCAATGTTATTCAGGCCCGCATTCATGCCAGCTGGAAAATAATACATAAAAGTATATTAAAATATATTTAAATTTTAAATACAGATGTTATTGATTAAGGGGGAGATACTTATAGAACTACAATTTTTCATTTTTCACTTTTTTCATCCAATAAGCAATAATAATGTGATAATTCGAAATTTGGCATGTTAATTACAATGATTATAATTAAAAATAATCTAATAATAATTTTATTTTTTTTATTTTTAAAATGGAAAAAATACAAATTTTTGTTAGTATTTTTTTGAAATATTTATTTTTTTAAAAAATGAATGTTGAAATTTTTTTGTCTAAGCCTACTATTAAAATTTGAAATATTTATTTTGTTAAGAAAAATTAATTTAGAAATTTCTGTCTGTTTTAACCTAACTAACATAGAAAATCTCAAAAACTCTGGTAGTGGCACTTTTTCAAAGTCAAAAATTAATTTTATTCATATTTTTTTTGTTTTTGCCTAACAAAAAATACTCAAACGTACAAATTTCTACATAACGTAGGTTCAGACAGTGGGCAATTTCATTACAAATATTTCTGTAAGAGCAGCATCATGATCGAAGCATTACTTTTTGATAGGCACGATCTAAAGCTAAGGAAATATATGGTTTCAAGAAAAACACAAGTAAAGTGATTGAACCGGCATCCTGGTATAAGTTCCAAAATACCTTGAATTTCTTCGTGAAATTTTCATGACACATTCTTAAAGAATTGTTCTACCAATTTAAATAATAAAAAAATTAAATTTTTTTTCTTTATGTATCCTTCCCCTCAAAAGAACATTACAAAATAAAATATTAACAAATTATAAATCATATAAAAACTGCTTTCAACATTCCCTACTACTCACTGGCATTCTCGGGGACGAGTAACTGCTGCTTCTGCTGCTGCTGCAGCAAACGCTCCTTCTGCTGGGCGGCGGCCAACTGCTGCTGCTGCCGCATGTTGCGCAGTTGCTGCTGGGCAGGCAGTACCACTCCGCCCGGAGTGGCCACCGCGTTCATGGGCCCTCGTCCGCGGGCTGGATACATGGGCGGTGGTCGCTGGAAACCCTGATTGCCCTGACTGCGCATTGCCTCCAGACGCTGCATGATGTGCTGCTGGTTTTGCTGTTGCTGCTGCTGGTGCTGCTGCTGTTGCATGTTTAGCATGCCCGGATAGGCGGGCGGCTGTTGCAGATGTTGCTGTCGCTGTTGCTGCTGCTGTTGGGCCAACTGAAGCGCCAGAAGCTGTTGCTGTTGCTGTTGTTGCTGATGCTGTTGCTGCTGGCTCATCATGAGCTGTTGACTGAGGTCGTTGCCAAAGGCCGTCGCCTCGACGTCCTGCATCAGTGACTTTTGAATATCGTTGATGGCCGAGGCCTCCGAGGGAGCATTCGTCACAATGGGCGTATCATCCGGATAGTACTCCATCACGCTGTCCAGCAGCTTGGACAGCTCCGAGTCGCCGTCGCCGAGAATGGCCGCCGCTGCTGCCGCCGCCGCAGCTGCAGCCGCCGCAGCCGAAGTGGAGGCCGCTGTGGTAATTGAGGTAGTTGCTGTGGTCGCCAGTTGCTGTTGTTGCTGGTGCTGGAAGGCCAGCTGCGGCGGCTGCAGTTGCTGTTGCTGCTGCTGCTGCTGCTGCTGGCTGAGGTAGACATCGTTTGGCTGCTGTTGTTGCTGCTGGGAAGGAATGCCGGCGGCCTGTTGCTGCTGTTGCTGCTGCTGCTGCTGCTTTCGGTTGCGATTTGCTGCCGCTTTGGGCCCCGTGCTGCCTGCGCTTATGAGGTTGCCCGGAGCGGCCAGCGTGCTGCTCACCGTGGAGCTGTTTATGTCCGGCAGCGTCTTCACCTGCAGCGGCTGCTCGGGATTGGGTGCTTTGGGTATCTTTGGCGGATTCTGCAGCAGCTTGGCCAGCATCTTGTTCTGCGTGCACAGTTTGCTCGGCTTGTCCTCCGACCGCTTGGCGGAGGGATCGTCGTCGGGCTCGTTGAGCGACCGCTTGCGGCTCAGCGGATCGCTCTGGATCTTCAACATGGCCTTGAGGTCCTCGGTGCTCATGTTGCCGCTGGCACTGCCGCGATGCATGCCACCATGGCCACCGCCGTCGGGATTCTTCAGCTGGCGCATCAGTTCGCTCTGGCGGGAGTTGTTCATGGAGCCCGGTCCGCTACCCGATCCGTTGCCATCATCGTCCTCGGACTTTTCGTTGAGTAGCTGCAAGTAATAGGTGTTTTAATTAGGGGATCCTCTTGACCTTGGCAATTACTTACCTTGAGCAGCATGGGGTTCTGCGAATTGCCCGCCTTGTGCAGCATACTCGCGTTGCCGACACCACGTCCCATCGATCCCATGGGTCCGAACATGCCCAGGCCGCCGGGCTGGCCGCCCATCTTGAAGCTGCCGCCGGCGAGCTTCTCCTCATCGGTGACCTCCGGCTTGAAGTACTGAAAAAGGCAGAAGGTCTTGTTATAATTTATTATACACTTGCAGAGGGTATTATGATTTCAGTCAGAAGTTTGCAACGCAGTAAAGGAGACGTTTCCAACCTGTCCGTCCGTCCGTCTGTCTGTCCGTTTCTACGCAAACTAGTCTCTCAGCTTTAAAGCTATCTATCTAAAACTTTCCCAAAAGTCTTCTTTCTTTTGCAGTTAGTATATAAGTAGGAACCAGCCGGATCGGACATCTAAATCATACAGCTCCCATAGGAATAACCGGGGGAAAAAAATGTAAAAAAATTATATTTTGGATGTTTTTTAGGGCTAGTAACAAAATTTTTTGACGTTGTTTTTCATATGAAATTTTTTGTTTTGGACGACTTTTTGTTGGGTTGAGTACTAAGCCTTAACAAATAATCTTCAACTTTTGGAAATACAATTTTTTATTTAATTCTGAATTTCGAATTAAATTTTATCAATCGGACAACTATAGCTGTCATATGAATGATCTGAAAATTAATGGGAATTTAATAGAAAATAAATTATTGCTCCGTTGGTTTTTATTGTATTCTCTTCTACATTGGGATGTGACTCTTTTTAAATATTTCCAAATTTCGATTTTAATTTTATCAAAATCGAGCTACTTTTTTATATAGCTGCAATAGGAACGATCGGAAACTTAATGAGAAATAAAAGGAAACTAAATATTTTGGCTTTGTAAATTAATAAGAATGATCTGCAAGGGTATATAAGCATCGGTTTTTTGAAGCTAGCTTCCTTTCCTATTTTTAACATTAATCCATTGGTATCTGCTCACCTTCTCATCATCCCCCAATCCTCCCATACCGCCGGCCATGCTCTGTGACTTGGTCAGCAGATGGCGCAGTCGCTCCGAGGATTCCTGTTGCTGCTGCTGCTGTTGCGGCGGCGTTTGCTGCTGTTGCTGTTGCTGCTGCTGGGAGAGCAGCATTCCACCCACTCCGTTTGGCAGATCCTCCACCCATCAGAGGATTGCTGCTGCTGCTGCCACTATTGTTGTTCACCTGCTGCCTTGTTTGCTGCTGCTGCTGGACATCCTTTTCGGGCTTCACGTCGCCCGTCTCGAAGGAGTGGAAGTTGAAACCGTAGTTGCCTCCGCCGGCGCTGGCATTTGACTGCGGCGACGGCAGGCTGGCGGCGGAGTGCGAGGAGAGCTGATAGGGCGTGGCCGGGGAGGCGCACACGGCCGGACTAAATCCGTGTCCAGACGGAGGACGCGGCGTGCTGACCGGCGTCGCCACGGAGGCCCGCGAATTGGGACGCGAATCGGTCCAGGCGCCCACGCCGCCGCTGGGATCCAATTCGAATGAGGAATGTGCTGCAATGTCGAACTCGAAGGTGTCGCTTCCGTAGAAACTATGCTCCGCGGCCGCCGGCGAGGCGGTGAATGCGTTGACCAACGCATTTGCCGACGAACTGGCCGAGGAGCTGGCGCCGGATCGCTGCTGCTGCTGTTGCTGTTGCTGCTGCTGCAGTCCGCTTCCATTGATAATGGCGCTGCTCATTAGTGGTCCGCCCACGCTCGTCGTCTGCGTGCTATTCCCACCGCCGCCCTGTTGGCCACCGCCCACCAGTCCGCCCAGCAGATGGGTGGGCAGCATGCCCGAGGCCGCCGGCGAGGAGGAGGAGCCCGAACCCTGAAGGCCGTCCATGGAGAGGCTGCTGAGCAGGGAGCTGGCCAGCGAGGGACTGGGCGCCATGGCGCACAGCTGCCCCAGGCCCAATCCCCCACTTCCCGCATTGTTGCTACCCGTGTTGCTGCTGTTCATGTCGTTCTCCGAGTTGAGCAGCGTTTGCACGGACATGATGAAGTCACCCTCGCCGGGCGTCTGATTCAAGAAAAGTCTCGAATTGGCCTTCACATGCACGTAGACATCGGGTGCACCCAACCGCAGGCGAAAGGGACGCGAAACCACACTGGTGGCCGCTCCAGCACCCGGCGAATTGGCACTGGCCGAGTCCTGGATGTCGCGCAGATGCGACTTGAGCGTGGACAGGTCGTGCGGATGGCAGAGATCCTGCCACAGGCGGCCCACCCACGTCTGCAGGTGCTGCTTGAACGGCTCCCGAAGGGCCGTCGGATCGAGGGTGAGTATTTTGCCGTGGATGTCCAGCTTGAAGGTCATCTGCTCGATCGGCTGCTGCTGCACGTGCTGCTGAATGTTGATCTCCAGTGGCGACTCGTCCTCCGGTCGTGTGATGAGGCAGAGAACCGAGCTGCTGGCATCGGCGTCATCTAATAAAATAATAATAGGTTTTAGGAATTTAATAAATATATTTATTATAGATATTAGAGCCCTGCATGAATTGATTTCAATGCATTATTTTGAATTTTTTGGATTTATATGAATGAGTTAATTTGAATTTTGAGTTTAATAGTATTGAATGAATTTAAATTTTGAGCTATAATCGAATGAATTAATGAATGGCATGAATTTCTGAGTAATTCAAATTACAATTTCTTTGAAGAAAATTTTAAATTATTCATAATTTCGATGAATGGCATAATTGAATTTTGAGTTTAATCGAATGAATGAATCAAGGCACGAATTCCGAAATAATTCAAACGACAATTTCTTTTGAAGAAAAAAAGGGCCATCATTTAGTGGGGTTAAATCTGCCCGAATTTTATTTACACAGAAAAATAAGCCGTATGCAATAGGGTTATTTTTCCTTATTTCATATCAATAAAAAAAAGATATAATTATGTTTATTTTAAGATTCAAACATATCAAAATTTAAATATTAATAAAAAATATTCAATTTAAATTTTTGCGCAAATAAAATAAAAAAACATTGACATAATCTTTAATGTATCAAAATGATATGAATAACTGAATCTTTAAAAATCAAATTGACATTAGCATTCTACTATTTGCTCTCATAAAGCACACTACAAGATTCTGGCAAAATTCACAAAATTTTGAATTGATTCATCGACAGGGCTCTTACTAGAATATTTGTACTCACCCTTGACTGGAGCCGCTATGAGGACCACCTCCTCGTACTTGTCCTGCTGGCCGGACTGCCGCAGTGGCTTCTCCTCGCAGTTCGACGACGTCTGGGTGGCAGTGCGTGTGTCCTTGACTAGCATGCGCACCTTGGTGGAGATGCTGCGCTTTGACTTGCCCACCGCAGTGCCACCTGCTCCTCCGCCTCCTCCTGCTCCGCCTGCTCCACCCGAACTGGAATTTGAGCCCGCTGACTGCTGGGAGGCACTGCCATTGTTCAGCTCCTCGAGATCTCCCCAAACGCCCGCGGAGGCGGCGGCGGCTGAAGTGCCCGAATTGCCGGCGGAGTTGCTACCTCCGCCACCTCCATTGGGCGGATTGCTGTACATGTTGTTGTTGATGATCGGCTCTAGCTTGGCGTGATCCCCCGAATAGAGGTACCTGTAGAGCGGCTGGTGGTACAGCTCCTGCTTCTCATAGCCGATCAGGTCGCGGATGTTCTGCGTGCAGGACTCAATGATGCCGTTGGCGTTCACCTGCAGCAGGACCCAGCCGACGCCGCTGATATAGTGCTCGAGGGCCTCGAAGTATGCCGATATTTCGGGCACCTGGCCGAGGAGGAGCGAGGGTTCCGGAAGAGGGGGTTCCGTCGACGAGACCTCGCCCTGTTGCACCGGATGAATCGAGCAGTTGTCCGTCGCACAGCGGCTGCAGCGGGTTGAGGTTGCTTGCGGTTTGCTGGTGTTGTTGTTGTTGCTGTGGTTATTGTTGTTGCTATTCGTGTTGTTGTTGGTCGTTGTCGTGGAGTTGTTGTTGTTGTTCGTCGACGTTGAGGATATATCACGGTTTTGGCCCTTGTCACAAATCTCACGGTACTGAAATGAAGAGCATTTAAAAGGGAGTTTAGTAAGCATTTAAAATAACTATTTGTAAAAGATTAAAACATTGTTTGATTCGTGATTTGTTAAAATACTGGTTGATTTTCTTGTCTATAACTATGATTTATCTTAAGATTTTAACAGATTGTCTATAAATTAAAGTAAAATAGATAAAAGGGTGTTGTTAAACGGAATTATACACCCAAAAAAATCGATATGAATCGTAGATCGATTTTACATTACTTAAGATCAATTTTAATTTGATATGGGGCCAAGTAAATTTGACCTGGTCGAAGAGTATTTCATGTAAAAACGACATGGGTTTTGCATGACCTGAAATTTACATGGCCATATCGATTTTACGGGAACATGCTTTTTTTTGTGTACCATCTACTTATAACTTTTAATTTTTTTTACAATATTTTTACAATTATTTTCTTTTCACTGAGATTCTAGAACATTATAAATAAAGGTAATTATTAAGGAAGTAGTACTGTAAACGATTTCCGTGGCAACCCAGAAAATCTCCCTTATCTCGCAGTTGAAATATTTCACTCGACCTGTAAATATTCATCTTGAATTCTACTTTGTGCCAAGCCTTATAAAGACTCATCATCTCAGATCGCTCGCATCTGTGAGATACATATTCCGAATATAAAAACTTCATTCATATCGCGCCCACTTTATCGGTGACATTTAAGCTGCGGTATTATTTATTTGGCGATGATGCGGAAGCATCCCGTGCAAAAACTCATGCATATTATGACACACAGAGCGCAGTAATAATAATAATTATAGCACGAAGATCGGCACACTTTGTGTGGAGTAGTGAATAAGTCAGAGAGAGACAGGGAGAGAGAAACACTGGACATGGGGAATATTTTAAAATGGGTATATCATTGTATTGACACAATGGAAGTGCAATAAACCGCATTTTATCGTATGCGAGGGTTCTATGTATTATTTTTACGCGCGCGTTTGAAAAAAAGAGTCATTGACATTTGCGAAAAACACGCGAAAAGCCCTCGTCATATTCAAATATTATTGTTATTGTTAGGATTTCGTTTTCCTTAGGATTTCCAAGGCACACCTCCCACAGCCACCCACACTCTCTCTCTCTTGGAACCGATTCTCTCGCACACATGGCAATTCAAGGTCAGTCAACTTCAACTTCGCGTGGACAAATGTCAATGGCATTTCACTTTTGTTTTGGTTTGCCGTGGCTCCTCTTTCTTAGTTATGTGTGTTTTTTTTTCGTTTCAATATTTACTGCGGCTTATCAGAGTCTAGGCTGTGAGTCCGGGTGACTCAATTCGGGCCAAGAAGCGTAAATTACTTACGAAAAATCACAGAAATACTCAGAACGTTCGCACAGTCGAAAAGTTGCCAAAATACTAAGCACACATTTTTCGAATGCAATTGTGTTAAAAAAACGCACAACAGCAACAACCAAGAACAACAATGGCAACACGGCGAAGCTTCTTTGCTCTCTCTCTGCCAAAATGGAGCTTTGCTCGCTGCTCTCTCCTGCTCTCTTTCCAGTTTTGTTTACCGGCTATATGCATACGTATGCGTTATCACATTGTGCACCTGTTTGTGTGGGTGTGGGTGGGGGAGAGAGCGATGGGTGGTGGGAGGTGGGAGGGAGCAACAACAATTAAGAACAATTTAGAACGAAGCGCAATCGCAATCGCAACTATGTGAAATTGCAAATAGCTGATACGTCATCGGTCCAAAAGCATTTCAAAGCAGTTCGTTGATCTCCCAAAAAAACACACACACACAGGGAAGGAGAATGAGAGAGCGAGCGAGCTTTCGTTGTTTGGAATTGGAAGGAAGCTTGACCAGGAAAAGTTGCTCCCGAGCACGAGTTTCGGGGTGAAGGCACTCCGAAAAATATCAGTCAAATGATTAAGTAAACAAAGCAACAAGAACAGCAACAACAGCCTGAGCAACGGTAGCTGTTGCGAAAAACAACAAAAGCGTTCAGCGCGTGCAGTCGCGAAAATGTCCAAAACGTGTCTGGCTTTATCTCTTTTTGTGCCCCTACCTCCTTTTCTTTTCACCACCACCCCATTTCGTACTTTATTTTTGGCGCGCTCTGACCCATAGACTCTTCCAAAATGATCAAATCAGGTAAAATCGGAGAGAAAGATAAAACCAGCAGCTGTGCAACGAAAAAAGGGGTTTGTCAACACCCGTATCTCCCTATGAGGCATGGGGATCGAGAAATAAAAAGCTCAATCTCAAATAATTTGATGCTAAAGGAAGTTTTCGGGTTCCCATCTTTTAGGGTGTGTAGAAAAAATAAAAAAAACATAGTCAATATACCTGAAAACTACTTAGAAATACTTAAATAGATTTCTGTTTTAACTTTTTTATGAACAACTATTTTGTAGCATACTCATCGGAGTAGATTTGTTTAAGCCCACGAAAATTTCTCTGTCGATATCCTATTGTTTGATCTATTTACAAAATTATTAACTTAATTTAATGATTCTAAAGGGTTCGAGTTTTCAATATAAAGTTATATTTAAAAAATCAAAATCAAATCAGATAAATTCAACGATTTAATACCAATGAAAGAGACCTTACACTATACAGTTTACAAAATTTTGGTAAGGATGTTCCAGGTAGTTTCTTATTATTAAAATAATGACAGATTTCGAAATATATCATTGAGTTTAGGTTGTTTTATTTTTCATAATTCTTTAGGTCTCTTTCATTTCTTACTACCACATTTCTCAACAATTTATTTGGCTATTTATCTGGTTATTTCCAACTGACGCGTAGTGTCTAAAAATAAAACAGCACACACCTCGCCGAACTCAATCAAACAATCAGCGATAACGAAAAGCTGGGTGAAACGAGTGGAGGAAATAGAACAAATAGAACTAGCGATGCCAAGTGGCGCCGTGGCTTAGTTGGTTAAAGCGCCTGTCTAGTAAACAGGAGATCATGAGTTCGAATCTCGTCGGGGCCTATCCAGTGGGATTTTTTTTTTTAATATTCCTTTTTTTTTTATGTCAACCATCTAATTGAGTTGTGTTTTGCCAACGGAATACTAATATTTCATGGGGTCCATCAATTGGATTACCGCTCGAAATTAGCTGCGTTCGATCCCTCCGATGGCTTTTCTCATTAGGGAAAAGCTAACATGACACGAACGCATTTAATTCAATTTATTTACCATGTACGGAACTCATGTGTGAGCTTGTTGTACCCTTTAATTGCATTTCACTGCCCGATGACTTGTTTTGTTTTCCAACGCTTGGATTACAAAATAAAATTATGTATTTTGGCGTTGGCTGAGTGCCGCATTTCATTTAAAAAGCCATTTGTTGGTTTGTGTCTTTTTCCGTCTTTTTTTTTTTGTGGTTTTGTCGATTTTTTTGGATGTTTGGCAAAGCGTGGCGCTTGGCTCGAAAATAATTTGCATAATAAAGTGCTTAGGCTACCTGAAACCAATAAAAGAAATACGGCAACAACAATAATAAAGCCGCCTAAAACAACATAAAGCCGCAGGCCGGGTCGGGCTATTGAAACATAAATAAATTTATGTAAATTAAATAAAAATATTAATTAAATTGTGTTGCGGCGGGGGCCAAATTACGTCAACCAACTCTTCTCCGCCGTTTCAGCACCTCCTCTCTTATTCCCTTTCGCGAATTCTTTTAAGCTCTTTTTCGGCTGAGCTTTTAATTGCTTTTTAATTGGAACGCGTTTTTGGTTACACCGAGAAAACTTGGCATAACTTGGCTTAAAGACATGAAATGATATATGGATTTGAAATACTATTATTTAAGCAATAATATAAGAGATCTAAAAAGGAAAATTTTCTTTTTTTCAATGTTAGTAAGAATTTTTCGGTTATTACAAGAAGTAGGATATTTTTTAACTGTGTATATAAAATATCAAAAAGAAGCAGACGAAGCGGGGAAACTGCATGGAAATTACATTGGGGAATTTCGCTCGGTTGTTTTTTGGTTATTGATCATTTGTATTCCACGGCCGTGAATCGCTGGCCATCCGACATATTCCCAGGGTTATAAAATTGTATTGTTTTTTTTTGTTTGTTGTTTTTATTTTTTTTGATGTTATGATTATTTTTGTAAAACTTTTATATGCGTGGGGTAGTAACCATATCAATAGATTCCTTACCGTTCGAACCACTTGGTTTAGTATAGCCGCCTTGTCCGGTTTCGTTGAGGTCATATCTCCACGCTTGTTCAGCGTCAATATCTCCGACAGCTGCTCGATATAACCGTTCTCCGCCTCGCGACGTCGCTTCTCATTGTTGCATTTGTTGATTTGTGATTGAGGCTGCAAGGAGAACAATATTAATATTTAATATTTTAGATGTGAAATATATTTGCTCTCAATTCCAAATCGTTTAAGGTTATTGTTGCATATTTTATCGTATTATCTTTATAAAAATATTTGTATTCTTACTAGTTGGCTAAGAGTTATTATAATAACATTGAATGCTTTAGGAATTCAAAGGTTGTTTGGTAATAGCAAAAAATTTAGTTTAGAAAAAATTCAAATTATCATAAAAAAAGTTTTTTAACACAATTCTTTAATATTTTTCAGTTTATTATTTTTGTTATTAATCTTTTAGCCCTTTATAGATTTTGTTTATTTTTTCTATATATATTTTAGTTATAATAAACTAAGAGTATACCACTTAAATACCAACATTGCGTATACGTAATTTTTTCTGGTACTTTCTCGTTTCTCAAAATATCAAATAGTTCGTATTGTAGCGGGTCTTACCCGTCCAAAACTTACCAGATTGACCTTTGCATCCGTCTTACGTCGTATCTTCCGGCCGGACGTCGCTGAGTTGGCAGAGTTGGCTGAGATCGGCGATGCCACCGCGTTCATAATGGCAGTCGATCGCTGCAGGGCAGCTGCAAGATTTGCCGTTTGTGCGGCAGCGCTGGCCGCCGCCTTATTTTGTATAGAACGCTGCGAGATGAGTTGCTGGTGCAGTTGCTGCTGGTAGCTCAATTGCTGATGTTGCTGCTGCTGCTGTTGGTGTTGCTGCTGATGTTGCTGCTGCTGTTGATGTTGCTGCTGTTGGAGTGTTAGTGCCGCTGCTGTCGAGGCGCCTGCCACGCCCCCACCAGCACCAGCCCCGCCTCCGCTGGCTGCCGTCGCGCGTTGCAATGGATGCGTTCCGGGCGCCAGTCCGTGATGCAAGCCGCTCAACAAGTTGCTGCCAATACCGCCGCCGGCCGATGATAACGTAACGGCTGCTGTGGCAGCGGCCGGCGATGAGCGCGGCAGGTTGCAGACCGATATGTTGCCGCTGTTGTACTTGTTGATGTTGCTGCTGCTGCTGCCGCTGTTGCTGTTGCTGCCGCTGGCACTAATGCTGCTGCTGCTGCTGGTTGAGGTCGCTGGATTTGATGTACCTGAGGCCCAATGATCTGGTAAGTCACTTGGGCTAAGCCTGTAATGGAGAAAGGTCAAAAAGGAAATTAGTAAAAAGTTTGTAGCTTTTATTATAAGGTTTAGATATTTTATAGCCCCTGCCTATTTGTCAATAGTTTTTAACATTATAATAAACATCTTTAAATTCCATAAACAACAACTTGTATTTATTTATTTACCTTAAAATATTTGATTTTTAAATAAAATTCCTGAAAGTAAATAATAACGTGTGAACGAACCATTGAAGGACAGCCTTGACTTTGGGAATAGACTTGGGCTTTGCGGTTTGGCCTTGTATTCTTATCAGAATGTAAAATTTCCTATGCCTTTTTTTCTTTTCCTATATATTTGACTCGTATTATTTTGGTTAATGTGCTGCCTCAATTACGCTTTATTGCCTAATTAATTTGCATTTGAGGGGCACAAGCCACATCGACAACAATTAGCTGTTTGTGTGGTTACTCTTTGAGTTTGGAACTCGGCTTTTGTGGTTACTGACTTGAATGGTTGATTTATTTATTGTGATATAATACTTGCATTAAGGCGCAATTTATAAAAGATTTTTATTATAAGCTGAATATTAATTTCTCCATATTACATGTTAGAAAACTATTACAGTGCTTTTTATGCTTGTAACGTTACTTAATAAAAACATTTTCATAGTTTCACCATTTTTAGAAAATGTTTAAAATATTTTTATATTGAAAAGTTTAATTTCCCACAAAATTTGACCTTATTAGCCTTGAGGTTTCACTTGCCAATCTCAGCTATTTCCACAAGCAGCATTCCAGCAGCTCTTCACCCGAAAATCGTAAATTTTTCCTGTGGAATGTGACATCTTAATTTTGTACTGTGCTAACCACTTCAAAGGATGTTGAGATATGTTCCTTGTTTTCCGCACAAACTTAATCATTTGTTAGCCGGGATTTTAGCAAGTATTTCGGTGGGGTGGTGACCCCGACTTTTGCCTTTGGGTTGCCACCGCAACGTGAGTCAAATTAACGTTGTCAGCTTTGGACTGGGTTTTGGATCCCGAAGCCGGTTCAGAACCCGGACTTGAAGTGGTCATCATGGCCATTACTCTTGTTGTTGCTCTGGTGTTCGGCCACCCCTTCCCTTTCCACATTTTTATTTGGGTTCTTTCATGTCAGTTTTCATTTGGTTAGGTGATTAATTGTTTATTTTAGTAGCTTAAAGTGCGGAATAAATTACGTTTTTGGGCTTTCTGTGAGCGACACTTGACGAACTGTTTTTCCAGGAAACTAAAAATGAATTGACGGAAATATATACATATGTTAAATGAAAGAACAAGCGAGTTCATCAATCCGAATTGCAGTAAACTATATTTTTCGTTGCCCCTTTAAATAAACCGCATTCACCTCTGAGACTCACTCAACCAGTTGAGCGTGAAACCTTCGGTCCAAATTGAGGACCACCCGGTGCAGTAACTGCTTCTTATGTTCTTCCACTTTTTTAATTACATTATATGCATAATGAAGAGAACCCCAGAGATTGGGGAGCGGGCAGGAACCGAGAGCTGCAACAAAATAATTACAGACAACTGGACATGATGGGGAGATGTAATCAGCGCAAGAGAAGAAAAAACTAGAATTGTAAGGTAGTTTTAGTGAGCAATGGTTGAAATACACGTGCAAAACCGTTTTTGCTAAAGCATACAAATATTTTTGGAATTTCTTATTCAACGGATAGTTTTTTAATAATTCCTTAAAAAATAACAAAGGTAATAAGAAAAAAAAACATTTCATACAATTTTGTTTATTTTTCAGAATATATTTTGTTTTAAAAAATTTTAAAAATAATAACAAGAACAGAGAAATACAAAAAATAAAATTGTTTATTATTTAAAATTTATATCATTTTAAGTTATATCATTTCATTCTTGCATTTTATATTTTTTTTAAAGAAATCTAAAGGTTTTCTTTTTAAAAAATATTTCAACTGCGTTCTCGGGAGTATACAAAAAATTGGGGGAGCTGTGATGACCGGGTGGCCAAATGAGTGACGTTTACCCTACCCCTTTCTCCCCCTTGACAACCGCAATAATTGTGCGAATTCTTTTTGCTGCTGCTTCTGCTTCTGCTAGTTGTTGGCTATTTTGACAGGGCGACACTTAAATGTGGCAGCCCGCTATGATCATAATCATCCTCGTCGGCCACATTCTCATCCTATTCCTATGCTCTATCACTCTCCGCTCGGCAGCCACACAGGGCGTATGATTGACGCGCTTAATTAAGGCGGCCAGAAAAGAGCGAAACAGAGGCGAATAGCGTAAATTAATGAAATTACAATTAATGCAGTAAGTCTTATTTGCGCTATTGCCGTTGGCTTCGTTGTTTTTGTGCCTGCCTTTTATTTTTTCGTTGGGCTTATCAATTTGCACTTTGCCGCTTGGGCTTTCAATCTGCCTCTCTGTTTTGCTTTTTTCGCCATTTTATCGTCATGAGTTGAGGGAAACACATCGTATTTATAGACAAACAACCAAAATATATGCAAACTGTAGAGAAAGAGAGAAATAGAGAAACGGGAGGATAATAGAGACAAAACTTTCGCCCCAAAAGAAAACAAACATTTTGTCTCAAAATGACAATGAAAAGCATTTGTTTGATCATCGGGAAATTGGCAATCGACTGAGGATTTGGGATAACAAAGATCTCAATGGGTTAGCCGAATGAGAAGTGAATCTCCGCCAATTTATCGAGGACAAATAATAGGTTTCACTTTCTAGAATTTTAGTAGGAATATTTACATCTAATTATATTTGAAACGTTCAAAAAAATAATTCATTTTCAGGAAACATTAAACATTTCTAATATTATTTTTATTTGTGATTTCGATTTATTAAAGTAATACAATAAATTAATAAAAAGAGATTGATTCAACAAATTACGTAATTGTGAAAAAATCACTGGTGCCCTGTTTTATCACCGCTGTCAATAAAATTCCACCGAATTCATATAACAACCTGTCAGCAGCAATGATTCCCCGAATGTTCTGGTAATGATTTCATCATACCTCTCTTTTCAAACTCTTTGATGATGAATTTGCATACCAATGGAGACTTAAACCCACCGGCAAGGTCGTTCCATTTCACATGAATCACAGCCAACGACAAGAGGCAAACAAAATTAAAATATAGGGGCAACAAATTACTCATTATATTTAATGTTGATTATAATGTCAGGCAGAGTTTTAAAATTTCGCTTCAGCTTTTTTGAGCTTTTATTTTACACCTATGCGAGAGCTTAAACAAATTGAGTCACGACTCACGTGATGATGATGATTATTATATGTTGTGTATGCTGTGCAATTCAAAATCGCATCACTCATACGCACGGTATGCCAAAAAGAAGTCGGGGAGCGGAAGAAAGTGCAAATGAAACGCTGGGGCAAAGCTCAAAAAAATTATTTTGATTTTTTTGGGTTTTTGGAAGGTCTACGTGATGTTTGGCTTGTCGACTTAAAATTGGAACTTGGAATTCAAAGTGGATTATGCTAAATTTGTAAAAAGAAAAAGGAAGTAAAATCAATGTAAGCAATTGAATTATTCTGATGAATAACGATTTTAAAGATAAGTAAATAAAAAAAACACCCTTTCTTTCTTTTATTAACTTTCACTTATCGCAGATAAGAAATTTGCTGGTATGCAACTGTGAATTAATGTGAATTAATTTCGTGCAATGTTGAAATTAACAGCGAAAAATTTGTATCAGCTTTAATATGCTTATTTAAATATAATTTAAAAAAATTTTACTTTGCGTTACTACAATTTTTAATATTTAAATTTAAAATGCGTTATTACTTCACCAAAATAATATTTTATCTTGATATACCTAATTAATTTTCGAAGTTATTGATTTGTAAACTCATTCCATGTTATTTGCACTGAGTCACATTTTGATTCACTTCCGCATATCCAACAGTATCCTTGACATCAATCGCGAATTGATATCACAACAAATACATTTTGTAAATATTTTTTGTCTGTTTATTTGTGCTTGCGTAGTAGAGTTTCTATGGAATTTGAATGGCAACTTGCATAAAAATGCTGATTCATTCTGACTAACCCAAATATGCGGGTTAGCTTTTAAAGTAAGGTCACCTTACTTTCTGGGGATTCCCAAGGGTGCAAAACAATTCAATTGGAGCGTAAGAGTTAGACTCTCTGAGTATAGTTCCATAAACAATATATATATATTTCTTGGTTGTTGAAAATATATACTTATTAATTTTAATGGCATATAACTGTGATATTTAAATATAAGTTCTTGCTTTAGAAACAATTTTATCCAAATTTAACCCATGTTACCCTCGAATTGTATGCACCTAACCCATGTTTAATCCCCCAGTATAATCCACTTTTTCATGAGAGCTTCTGTTGACTTGTCTCAGCTGCTGTCTGAGCTGCCATTTGCCATATAACCAGAGACCTGTGCACTTGTTTAAGCCAAGTTAACTAAGTCTAGTCTCGTCTAGTTGACGTCCCGTCCCCGTCACACTCTTTGCACCCCTCGAAAACCTCATTTGCTCAGCTGCTTTTGTATTTTCTGAATTTGTGTGTTGTGTGGGTAAAGCCAGCATTTTTAGCAAACTAATTGTGTGAATAAAACATATGTTCGGTTCGGGTCTCTCCGCTCCGAGAGACACAATGCTCTCAGTCTCAGGCCCTCTGTTTCTGCTTTTGTGGGTCGCTCTCGGCTACAGTCATTGCTACAAATAATAAAGTGGGTCATGGATGAAAGAAAAAGCGTTTTATAAAGTGGGTCATGAATTTTGTTTCACTCACGTTCAAGTGTATTTCGATTGCCGCTCGCCGTTGTTGTTGTTTTTATTATTGTTGCTGGCTGGTTGCTGATTTTTTATATATTTTTCTATATACACTTTGTTGCAAAAAAGTTTATATTTGATAAATTGTATGATTCAGGTTTTGTCTGGCCCGCCGCCGCAGTCTATTTTGGTTTGGGGGGAAGTATTAATTTATTTCCATAATATTCGTGATCT